GAGAGAGAGAGAGAGAGAGAGAGAGAGAGAGAGAGAGAGAGAGAGAGAGAGAGAGAGAGAGAGGGTACTTCCATTGATAGGATGAGCAAAATCAAATGAACCTACCGGTAGAACATCGAAATGTACACTACTGCACGTGCGTGTGTGTTTTGTCATCCTATTGATGGAAGTAGCCTCTCTCTATCTCTCTGCGTGCATGGCTGGAAAAATTCTCTCTCTCTCTCTTTCTCTCTCTCTCTCTCTCTCAAAACAGATCATGGATCGTCCGTTTGGGAGCATTACCCCCAAGGTAGATTTCTCAACTTATGTGCCTTTCCTTTTTTTTTTTTTTTTTTTAAGACATCATTAAATCCTGAAACGGAGGACTATGACAGCTGTTTTTGGCTCTCTAGCATCCAACTCGTTTCCTTCTTTGGGCAATAAACGCATTTGGCCATCCATGTTGTCCCTGTCCATTTCACAAATGGTGATCTACTGTCCCCTCACCATGGGGAGTATCCCTTTTCCACGGTCACATTTTCACTCCAACTGTGCCAGACCTGTTTCATTTCTCCGAGTAAGCCGTCGCCAAGATCTCCGCGTGCGGCTATTTTTCGCCCGAAACAAGATACTCATGATTCGTAGGTGCTGGTTTTGTAATTATTGATACTCACTTTCCCGCGTACTCATTGTTGCCTTTTAACGAGTTGATTGTCATCCCGTGGACGGCAGTGGCACCTCATTGGCCTAACACATTTTGTAGCGACTGTGGCCGCACCGAGCTTTATTAGGAAAAGGGGTTCTGTTACCAGACATGTGGTGGGTTCCGCTACCAGACCCGTGGCAAGGACGAACACAAGGAAAGAGCGACCAGGCTGAGGCCATCCACGAAAGATTCCCTGAGCTCAGTAACAAACGGCGCCGGGACTTAACTCAAAAACGAGATCCCACGTGTGTACCCCCGCCTTTCCACTCGAAAATATATCAGTAGCCTGAATGGAAGTTCAAAGATACTTTTTGGATTAAAAGAAAGTTTGAAAGCGGCGCGCACTATTTCTGTCCCAGGTGGCTATGGCCATTTCTCACTTAACTGGAACCACATGGGGGATTTCAGTTCCGTCTGTGTCCCCACACTCAATTTTTCCAAATATTCTAAAAAAAAAAAAAAAAAAAGGGGAAGCTGTTTCTAGCTTTTTTTTTTTTTTCAGTTTTTTAATTTCTTGTTTCG